AAATCGACATTTTAAGGCCAGGGTTAATTTTACTTTATTTCAGGCTATGGAATGTCCTAGTGGGGTCCCCCAGGGCTCAGTACTGGGGCCTCTTCTCTTCTTGATCTACATAAATGATTTTCCTCAACAGATAACGTCAGACATATTACTTTTTGCCGACGGCGTGAAACTTTGGAGAGAGATATGCAACCAAGACGATATACAGGCACTTCAGGAGGATCTGACTGGACTTCAAAGTTGGGCAGACGATAACGGACTTACCTTTAACACTTCAAAGTGTAAAGTAGTCCATCTGCGACATGTCGCAGACTACAGTTATAATTTAGGTAACTCCTCTCTAGTAGTATCCCAAGTCGAAAAAAATTTAGGAGTCCTGGTGTCCTACGATTTAAAGTCTTACGCTAACTGTGACAAAAATGCCTTCCGAGCAAACCTTGCACTGGTAACATTGAAGCGCATTTTTGGCCAGTTTGACGGAAGAACTTTCCGTATAATCTTCAATAGTTTTATCCGTCCCCATTTAAAGTACAAAGACATAATATTTCCCCCCTCACTCCAAAAGGATAAGGACACCCTGGAGCGTATCCTTAACACTCCTGGACATCGTCTCAAACACCTACTTAACCTAAGAGGTAACATGCAAAACTGGAGACACAACGTAGCAGAACGGACTGTAGACACAACTTCTACTCCTTAAGAGTTGTCAAATGCTGGAATTCGCTGCCGGCCGAGCTAGTTCAAGCAACTTCTCAGGAGTCCTTAAAGACGCAACTTGATTTATTCTTAAGGACTAAGAATAGTATCGCACTATGATTTACTAATATCTTTTCCTGTTTTATTGTTAACATACCTATGTTCCTGCCTGGAGGATTTGGAGATTCCCTGCTACTAGACACGGAAGCCTGTTAAGTGAAAGTTTCTTCTATTCCGTCCACAACCATTTGAACCATTTGACCCTGTGAAATGTCACGGGGCCATAACCAGATCATCCGACAGTCTGATTATAAAATATCGGACGGTTCACCGATTATCGTCAAGGACATGGACAGCCGACGAGCATTAGGTAATTGCGCATCATGAACTAGCACAGTGTGGTGTTTGTATGAAATAATGATTCCTCTGTACATCATGACTGCCTGATTTCGAATCCCGAATACAATATGTTCGTTCGTCACCATATAATTCTTGTCGGTTAAATTGTGCCACTTCTAGGATTCGCAGTCTGTAATATAATTCAAATGATAATTCAATTACCGTATTGGCGCCACGATGAAGCCGGTGATGAAGCATGGACAAGAAAGATGTTAAAGGTGATAGAATTGTGGCATATTTCTTCACATTAATCGAAAAAGACGCATACAACTTATTAAAAACTCTGGGATATCCAGAAAAGTCTATCTCAGTTTCTTATGCAACTCTTACGGGACTACTATTAAATCATGAAAAGTGAATCAGCTTCGAATGCCATGAGAGAGTAAACTTTCATATCATGATTCTCCAGAATAACCAAAAGGTTAAGGAATTCATCCTTGAATTGTGGAAACAAGTTACCAAATGTAATTTTGGTGGCCAACTTTATGTGCAACTGAGCGATCGATTAATCGTAGTAATTAACATATCATATCTGGAAAGAGAGATGTTAAGAATGCCGAACTGTTCTTTTCAAGATGCTAGAACTACATGCATTAACTACGAAGCAGTGAATGAACTCTATATGCAGTCGATGAAAATCTCTAATGCTTTGCTCATTCGTCATGATGAAATCCAATATCAGGGTCGATCAAACTTGCGCTCTTTGAATAGTGATTCCTATTCGCGTAAAAATATGAAAGGCGATTCAACAAGGAATTGCAAAGCGAACCACAAAGGTGAGATCGAGTTTGGTAAATTATTATCCTGTGGTAAATTTCATTCTCTCAATTCATGTGCATTTCGTAATGCTAAATGTGATAAATGTGTTGAGATACGACACATTCAGTCAGTATGCAAAACCACTGATCATTTTGCTTCAAGTAGTGCTCTACTGTGATTATTTATCTCTGTCAACCATTTCCAAAGCTAATGTTTATATTCAAAAGCGAATATATATATTCCCTAATTTGCTTCATGACTTCATTGTGAACACTGTCAGTATAGAGTCTATTACCTTTAGATCCTAACGTTGTGTTACGACCCGCTAAAATCTCAATATTGGGGACTGCCGGGCACAGACTGTCCATACGAGAATGCTATGAACCGCTAATAAGAGCCGTTAATTCTTCATATATACCATGTTAATTTTTAGTTAGTGAAACAGGACTGTTAATACTGGGTTTAAGGAATTTGAAAGGGCTTAAAGTGGAGTTGTCTTTACTAGTTTCTAAAGCAAATTATGGTGCTATACTTAAATATCTGATAGCTGCGTATGCTAAGTACATTAGAAGTATGAAAATTCAGCCTATAAAACTTCACGTACAGGGTGATCCAGTCTTTCTTAAAAAAAGAATAATTCCTTATGGTCTTCAAGAAGCAGTACATAAGACATGAAACGATTTGTAAGCAAAAGGTATAATTGAACCCATTCAGTCTTTAGCGTGGCATCCTCCTATTATTACGCCATTGAACACAGACGGCAAGACCCTTAGAACATGTGCCGACTATAGAATAATACTGAACTCCCGTTTGTTGAAGCAAATATGCACGACGGTAAAAACTGAAGATATTCTAACTCGACTTCATGTTTATAAAGTGTTCTCGAAAGTTAACTTAAAAGACGCTTATCTCCAAATCACTTTAGATCAATCTTCATCTATTTTGACGACAATTAACCCTCTTTTTGGTCTGTTTAAATTCATTTTTCTTCCATTTGGTCTAGGTTGTTCTCCAGCCATATTTCAATAAGTGATGAATAAAGTAGTATGTGATTTTGAAGGTTTGAGGTCTATCAAGATGATCTCATTGCTAATGATTCCGATAAGGTAGTTCATGACCAGTGACTTATTGCTTTATTATGTCGTTTAATTGAGAAGAATATTTAGGTAAATTCAAAAGTGTTCATTTTTATGTCTAGTTTTGAATATTTTGAATACTCAGTCGATGTTGATGGTTTTAGTTAAGATATGAAACGAATAGCTCCACTGACTAATGCATTGTCTTCAAAAAACCTTACGGAACTACGTTCACTAGTGGGTGCTCTTCAATACTCTTCCCGTTTTATTCTTAATTTTTCTTGTCGTGCACATTGTTTATTTGATATTTCGACATCCAATCCATCCAAATTGGGTTGAGGAACAAGAGTCTTGGTTACGAAGCCTAATAAAGTTTCTTCAAAGTGATGTTGTTCTTCGAACTTACTCCCCTGGTGTACATTCTGTGCCCATTACTGACGCATCACCTGTAGGTAGGCGCAGTGTTGGAGCAGGAAGGTAAACCAGTTATTTGTGTTTAACGCATACTTAATGTTACCGAACAAGGTTATTCACAGACTCAGTTAGAAGCGTTAGCTGTGCTTCGAGCTGTTAAAAGACTTCATATATATTTATTCGGAAAAAATGTATTGTTACTGATCATTAGGCTTTAAAGTCCATTTACCATCCTGAAAAATCCTATACAAGTTCCTCAGCTGCTATGGCTCAACGATGGAGTACTGCTTTGAGTGTCTATGACTATACAGTCCAGCACAAGGGAGCCAAACAAATTCAACACATTGACTACATTTCTCGACAATCACTACAAGATAGACCTGTTAATACTTTAGACTGTTTGTTAGTGCAACCTTTACCGATGAGACGTCCAGATCTCACTGGGGAAAATCGTAAATATTTTAGATGTATACTCAGTGCTATACGGAAAGGTTGGAATGCCAATCTGAAACGTAGATTTCCTGTCTATTTTTTAAAGCTGGATGAGTTATCCACTACTGCTGATAGCATTTTGTGTTTAAATAATCTTGTTGTTATTCCTCCTTCATTACGTGAATCTATCCCTGAAGATTTTCGTAGTAGACATTTGAGTGTCGAGAAAATGAAGTCCTTGGCATAGCTTACATGTTGGTGGCCAGAGACAAATGCTGATATACGCCGTACTGCAGAAAACCGTAGAAATTTTCACAGGTTGAAAATTTAGCCTTCGAAGTGGACTCCTTGTCAAGTATCGTCTGTGGCCTGGCAGAGCATTCATGCAAACCATTATACTCCATTTCTCGACAAATTCTATGCGCTTGTAGTCATTGGTTCTTTTTCAAAGTGGCCCGAATTTCTTTCACAGCTTCACCAAATTCTGACTTCACAATCCAAGCTTTAAGAAAGGTGTGTTGTCGAGAAGGGGTTTTCATGGTGTTAGTGACTGATGATGGCTCTCATTTTACTGCGGATGCAGTCATCACCTGGTATGATAGTTTAGGGTGTAGATATTTGTTTACCACTCCCAGGCACTCTTATCCTAATGGTCAGACAAACAATATTGTCAGGACTTTAAAAACCACTATTGATTCTATTGCTGCTTCAATATTTAATGAGCTGAAGAGGGGAGTAGTTACATTTCAGCTTACATATAGAGATGCTAAAAATTCTGTTACGAAAGAGACACCTACAAAGTTATTAAAAAGAAGAATTATACGCTCGAATATAAGAAGTTTGTGGTATGCGGGCTACATGTAATTGTGGAAAGGTTCTTTTACCAGTCATGGGGATTGTGGTGAAGAATGTCTGGAAATCCGTGGTGCAAATTCTAGATATCAATGACTTAAGTATGCACAACCAACATATTGATCGAATACAATTCCAGGAACCAGATGAGCTTGTCCCGATTTCGGTTGTTAATTTTTAGGGGGGACTTTTGCTTAGATGTCGATTAAAATGCACGATGTTTCCTGAACTTGACTCGCATAATATCGTATGAATCATTGTTAATGAATTACATATCGTCAATCCTCATATATTATCTTTGATTTAAATCGTGTCAGTCAACAACGGAATTGAATAAGCCAAATACGCAAATGAATTTCGAGTACTTTCAACATTTATACCTCCAATTATTTCGGATCCTTTTTCTGCTGCTCCAATCAATCCAGCTACAATACAACGGCACTATCAGATGGAATTGCAACAACAGACAGCCCAACAACAACACCAGCAAATCACAGATTCTTCACTACTAAGTTCCAAAGCTCCAACGGCTGTTGTTTCAACTATCAGTTCTACACCAACTTCACCATTTTTAGGCGGACCACCAATTGCTGCTCCAACTGTATCGACTAATACTTTTAATTCTAGTTCATGGGCAGTCACATATCCACAGATGCAACAATTTAACAAATCTATTATTCAGTATAGTTCAAATTTACCCAGTTCTCCTATTGGTGCAGTGAATTCTCAAACAAATCTAACTTATCCTTCCAATGGTGTTTTAAAATCAGGTTCTACAAATCCATGGTCATCATCAATCGGATTGATTGATGGAAGAAACGTTAGTAATGCAAACTGGCAACCTTCATCACCATCGTCATCGCCACCTGCTCTTCTACCTCCAGAAACTGATTGTCTTTCGGATCCATTCGATTTAGGTTGGGTAGATAGAGCTACAGCTGGTGTATCGAATACATCAAGTGGACGAGGCATTAGTAATCCATTTCTAATTGCTAATGGGGGTGGTGATGATATCCGTAATCCAAATGCATCATCTGTTCATTAATTAGATCAACCATATGATAATAGTAATTGTTGTATATAATATATATATATTTCTATCAACAAAAAGAGTGGGGATAGAAATCTGCCTCGTTAATGATCAATGATAATTAGATTCTTCCTCATTATTATCCCTTGTCTCTCTCACTAACTTTGTTTACTCAATGCAAAACACTTCATAACATTTACGAAATGTCTAGTTTCAAAGTTTATATAGCCGAATAGCTTACTTTTTCAGACTTTGGTCAAACCAACACTCTGTATTGGACGTTCTAGAGAATAGCTTAAAATTAAACCTCTAGGAAATTGCTTCCTACACTAAATGCAATATGATCGTTCGCGTTTATCTATTTCTGTCTGACTTAAACTGCACTGTTCCGGGAATTCCTAGTTAGTGCAATAATTTGAATACTTCTAACTATCATACGGACTGTACTGTTTGTGTGAACTAATGATTCTTTTGTACATCATAACTGCCTGATTTCGCATTCCAGATACGACGCGTTCGTTCGTCCTCATATAATTCTTCTCGGTTAAATTGTCTTATTTCTGCGATCCCTAGTCTGTACTATAATTCGAATACTTCAAATCATTACACGAACATAAGCTGTTTCAATGCACACTGACAATGTATGAGTGACTATGATGCAGAAAATATTTTGCTGAGCTGGAATTTATAAAAAGCTTTTGTCATTTTATGACTGCACAGCAACAAACAAAGTAAAATATGATGTAAATTTTCCTATGATTTTCTATCTGGGAATATGTCACTTTTATTTAATCACAAAAAGTAAATCATGTGTTGCTTGGTTGAAAAGCCACGCAACCATTGAACACCACTCGACAAACTAAAGAATATTCAAGGGGACCTGAAGAGTTGAATGGAATATGGAATTCGATTTTCAAACCACAATTCTACATTGACAGATGCATGGTAATACACTTGGAATAATCTGCTTTCAGAAAAGGATATCTGCCACAAAATATGAAGATCCACAAATATTATGAACTGGAAACTAACTATGATCCATTTCAATGGATCTAAATTGTGGTTATCGTTGGTTCTGTTCAGTAGTACTAACGTTTCACTTTGGAGACAGAATATTACATTCGGGGCTCCGGTTGTGGATAATATCGTTTTTGATGTTTTACAATTTGTGATTGGAGCTCAGAGACAGTGAAAACAACCAATGGAAACACATGCAATATTCCTTCTTTCTATTAACGTTTTAGACATTCATAGTCAACACTGCACCCATACTACCTTTATTGAATCAGTGTTTGGAATTTGTTTTTATCGCCGAACAAATCTGAACACAATGTTATTACCCCTTTATTTGAACTAGTTTGGCAGTCGGAAGTAGTTTAATACTCTGTATTTCGTCCACAGTTTAAGCGTTGATATTCCAACTGCGATGGTTTATGTCAAAATGGTAGTCATTGATTTGTGTGTAGATATGTAACACCAAGTTCAAGGAAATTATCAGATACATTAACCAATATCAACATCGTTGTATTTATTTTACACCTCGGATCTGAAACAGATTTTGGGAGTTACATAATAGATTGTAATGTTTCGGAAAATGACCTTCACTGTTTGTTAATGGGAAACTGGAACTCAAACCATCATTTTACGTTAACACTGATATGTTAAGTCTTCTGTTTTGGTTGAAACTGTGAGCTTGTATTTTCGTCTTATCACGTTGAAGTGAGTCAGTCAGTCAGTCAGCTACAACGTAGGACCAGGCACATATATGCATCGGTCCAGGTTGCCATACCTCGTAAGCACAGCAAGATGAACACCGGATTCATGGGAGTGGTTAGGTTAAAGGTGGTAATATATAGGAGAAAGATTGCATATAAGGATACAGTACCGGAATATAGAATTAGTTCGTAGAAAGAAAGATATGAAGCGATTCTAATCTCTTAGTTTAAGGGAAGACAGGGAGTGTACGCACCGACGCCATTGTGATGTTGAAATGAGTAGTAGATAATAAATAAAGCAACACATGTTGTCATTGAAGAAACATTATATACCATTCAAAGAAGAAATGTTTGTTTATGACAATATAATTTAATTGAGCTGAACGGTCATAATGATGGTTAATTCACAAATAGAATGGTCACTTGGAACGTTGGAGGACGACTACACAATATCACATGTAAAAGAATGAGCATTAACGTCCAAAATGTATAGAAAGATAATCAGATAAAGTCAACTGTGTGAAAGACAGTTATTCACTTGACGAGTATAAGAAAGATGAACAATAAATTACAACCTGAATGTAGAACGTAAATAATGAACTTCAGACGTGAAGACGATGATAACGAATAATTGAAGTTAAAAGGAATAAGTACATTGGAAGGATATATTATCAATCAAGTTACAGATCATGAAAATGAAGTATTGATATAATTAAATACTGATAACTTGCCCGTGTTTTTTTGTATACAAGGTTTTAGGCTTGAAATAATGGACTGCTAATACCTCTTCAGTGTATAAGTTGTGAAGGCACATTTCTTTCGAACCAGATCGTCCGGTCGTTAGAAACGTTTTAAGAATTTTTCAAATATTTTCCATGTGACCAGTGTTCAAAAAATGTTTATCGCCTTGTATTGGTATCCGTTTTGATACTTTGAAAAGTTTAGAGCGTCGAGCAGAAGGGTGCATATTATTATATTAATATAGGGAAAGAACATTTAATAACGAACGCCGATCGTGATTTTTAATTTTAAAATTAATGCATGTTCTCTGTCATTTTCGCACTTCAATTATCTCAATTTCATTTTTATGGGGTGTAAAGAAGAGTTTAGAATGTATTTAGTCGACTTTAAGTACAATTACTTAGGTTTCTGTTTACGATAACTTACTTTTTATATAGTAGATTTACTACAATTTTACATCAATGATGAATAATTTACAACATTGGTTTACGAGTGATATACTACACAGTTAGTTTACTGTACGGATTGAATCTGTAAATATATTATACAGAATATTTGTACGGATATAAAAAGCTAAATAGTATCATTGTGTGATGGACGTGTTCAACGAATTTGCACTCCTTACTAATTATCCAAGAACCTTATTTCGTAAAAATTGCGATTTTGGCGACCTAAAACATGGTTCACTTTTGGGTAGAGTCTCAAATTTTAGCGCGGAATAAAAAAGCGAAAAGAAATAAGGATCAGTAGACCTAACGGAAACCAATAGTTGACAGAGCCTAGTCGTTTGTAATGGAACAGATCAATAAGTGTTTGTTTAGCAGTTAGGATTCACTCCGATGTCACTAGTACGAAATTACTATTGAAGAAACTATCTGTAACTCACGAAAACTGAACATAATCTATGCGAAGCTGTAACACACCGGAGCAAGCCTGAATAATGCAAGAAATACTGATCTTCGAAGCAAGACAAATGCTCATCGACCTCTTCAGTTGAATGAATTGTGTTTATCATCCTAGAGTCATACTTCGTATTTTCATTCACACATGTCAACTCCAATTTAGTTAAACAGTTTTTATGATTTCGAAATCATGTATTTATGAATAAATCAAGTAATTTAGAACACTCAGTTCACTGAACCCTTGGAGAAAATCCCCGGAGATGAAAGACCTTTCACTCCAGTTACCTACGTTCATGTATGACAAACTTGTATTCATAATCATCTGAATCGCACTCGTTCGTTGGCTGCGTTTGTTCTCATGAAATTTAAGATTTTAAGTTCCATCAAAGTCTGAGCGATGCAGCCTTTCAATAAAAAAATGAACATGTACTCTCACTTTTTCATGATGGACTCTTTCTTAACTGCTTGTTATCTTCGAGGCGGGCTTTGAGAATGAAAGGACCCAAATTTGAGAAAACCATATTTATTGAAAACTGCAAGCAAACGGGATAAATTAAGGGCACTTTTGACTTGCCTTGTTAACAGCTTATGATAATCTATGTTCTGTCAAATCACTAGTTACACGGATCCTTTTTATTCCTTCAGTTATATTCTTTCTTCAGCCCGGTATCTCGTCACTCAGTAACAAGGCCTCATATTGTAAAAAACCATACCTACAAGTTATTTCAAGATTTACAGTGAAATTTACGACATGCCAGGTAAATAAGGAGACTGACATTTATAAAAGAGAACAGATCTAAACAAACGAACTGGAGGCTGACATATGTAGGAGGTCTAAATTAAAACGAATTTTGAAGACATATCCTGGCTATATATGAGAAACAGGGAAGTGTTACATACATATATGCTTTAGAACAGAATGAGTATAACTGGATAACGACCTCCGCATGTTCCATGACTAGGCGCCTGGATCAGTCAAAATGTCTTTCATTTCGGATAGTCATTAGGCTTTACAATCTGACTCTTTTTACAGTTGATGTCCGTGTCATTCAATTAAAATACTTAGCTTTACACCCAGGGACATTGATTTTGGAATTTCTATTCACAATCAGTTAATCATCAAGTTAAAGGTAATGAATTCAACATTGTTTCACTATTTATGAGAGTAATGTGTAGTTGTGTTCATTCCAATTTTTATCGAGCCCCTAAAGATGAGTTTCTAAATATTAAGGCTACTTCAAAGCTATGAAGGAGTAAAACAAGTAGTAGCGAACAGTTGCATAATTTACACAATTGATCTCCTCTAAAGTCTCTATTTAAGGCAAACACAGAACATACTTTATGCTAACTCTGTGCTCCAGTTATTCGCCTATTATTTGATATTATTAAAACTATCTTATGACCTTCGTGTTTAATTATCAAAGAATACTGGATTTTATTTCATATTACTCTGTGAAAATATTCATATCAATCAGTAACAGATAAGACATTTCCTGAAATTTGAAGGAGAATAATAGGTTTCATGATGTCTCATTTGCATATTCAGTGTGAAATTTATATACCTGTCTAAGAATTCTCAACACAGCTAAGTGACTTCTAAAAGATCCACAGCCTGATAACGTACTTAAAAAATCTGAACCTTTAAAAATTCTTACAG